GTTTGGCCGAGCACCCAGAGTGAATCCAGAGGAGCTCTTCCAAATGGCTGCAAACTGATTCTCTGAAGCGAACTAATGCTGGTAGCTGAAAAAACAGCTTCTTCTGATTCAGTTACTCCATAGAGTTTATGTCAAAGAATCACTTTCAGTGCCAGAGTCTCACAGAGAATGACCTCCAGGAGAGCTATACCCTTCCATAGTAATCTAACATCAGTGGTGAAACATACCCAGATAGTTTTATTTTCTACAGAACATCTCACCAAGGGGCTAGGTGCTGGTTATGTAGCAGACCAGTGCCTAACGAGGCCGGGTGTTCAACTTTTACAGCGTTGCTACAAATAGTGTTACCTCTGAGTCTCTGACTGACACCAAACATCTAAGCAACCTGGCATAGGTGGATAAATTGATTAGATAGGCTAGTATGGATGTTGCACGCTCTGCACGTAGGCCCTGCCAAGGAGGGACAGTTGATAACCTGAAAGGACACTTAGGGAAATGTCTTTTATTTTCCAATTACAGGACACACTTGATGTACCATGTGTGATAGCCAACCATAACTTCTAAGCTTTGTATCTTAGTTTGATTCGAATCATTTTGTTCATGTTGCACTTATCAGCATTTGTCTGCTCCATTCAACATTTTGTTCATGTTGCATTTATCAGCATGTGTCACCCACCATCATATTCTGACGGGCGTTCTTTTGGATTGTGTCAGGTTGTCTTTGCCCTCGGTTTTGTAAGAGTTGAGCATTCGGTTGTCCGTGATAGTGTCATTGGTCCTAGTGACAAACTGAGGCAACTCATTCTAAGATTCTGCAAGGCTAATGAGGAATTGGTTGTTCAAGACAGTGAGCTTAAAGCTGTTATTGAGTCGAAACTTGTCAGTTTATAACTTTATATTCCCTCAACTATTTATTTTTCATCATCGGTGCTAATTTAGTTAAGTCTGGCATTTTAATGTTGGCATATTTTCTCAGGGTGTCAAATGTTGGACTGGTGATGAAGCTGTGGATGAGTTGATTTAGGGTCTAAAGCATTTCCTGTCTGATTTTATAAGCTCACTGATGAGTATTTTTTTTCCAATGAGCAAGCAACTGCTAAGGGACTTGGAAACATATAAAATCAAAGTCTCCACAAGTAAGGTAATAATGCTCGCCTTGCTATTGTACTACTTAGTATTGTTTAATGTTCATGACCAGTGATTAAACTTCCTTCCAAAGTAATTTGTACTACTTAGTATTGTTTAATGTTCATGTTACTGAATTCAAGATTTCGTTGTGATACTTAAGGCATTTCATTATTCGAGTTTTTTTTTCTAGCATCCTTTACAGTTTACACTAGTAATGAAATTATATCTTGTTAAATTACATTAACGAGTACTTTTGTCTGCAACAATGTGGAATTCATGAGTATTTCTAATTTGTTGGTATTTACGATGCTCCGTGATCATGCTAACACATAACTGGTCAGTAGTTCTTATTGTACTGTATTAAATAATCAATTCAAGAACTTCAGCTTCTCTCTATGGTTTATTTGTGTATTGATTGCTGCAGTTTTACATGAGTAGGCTGATTTGATTCCCTTCTTTTTCTTTTTGTCGATTTCAGATTAATTCAGATTTCGTACATAAATTTGGTTACGTGAATATTCTTGACATCCTCTCGAAGGCTACTACCAAGGTTTTACGCGGCATATGTGATCCGTATGTTTCTTGGATTGGTGGCATGGAAGATGACGACTTGATGTATGCATGGAGGATTGCAAAGGTTGTGATTCCTGGGTCTGAGGCCGAAATTGAACTCGCTAAGGTTGAGAATCTAACCAAGTTTATAAACAGCCAATGCTTTTTCGATGAACTGATGTGGTGAAGCAATTGATGAGTAATTCCGTGCTATGTTTTGTACAGTTTGCAGGTAGTTTGGAACCAAAGCAAATAGATGTGACTGAAGATGCAGGAAAAGCTGTTATTGATTTTGACAAAAAAGACATTCTGAAGTGTCTGGAAAGGCTTTTGCGTATGTACAGACAGAGAAAGTTAGCACAGCAGTATGTTGATAAATTACTGCTTGATATGACGACAATTGAAGATCAAATTGGTGTTACCGGGACGGCTGTCGGTAGCGAAGATGATAAACAGTTGACAGTTGTAGGTGTGAGAGGCAGAGATGAGGCTCCAGCTGTCGTGAAGATGATCAGCAGTTTGTCAGTTGAAGCTGTGGGTAAGAACGATGGAACTCGATCTGTTGACGAGTGACAGTTGCAACGGTAAAAATATGGTTTTGCCGTACCAAAAAGAAGGGGAGACATAATGATGGTCGTTCCAGTTAGCCCAAGAATAAGAAGCGTTAGGTTTTGCTTAGAACCTTGTGTCTACACACGTGCCTAATTCACATCATTTAACTCAGATACATGTTAAACGACCCCAGCTTTCGATGTGAATGAAGAACAAAATCGTATATTTTCTGCATCCTATTCACGCACTGGCTTGCAAATTACGTACACATACTTTTTGATAGTACATGTTTTGGTTTGATAGAATTTGCAGCATGGCTTTCCAGACTACTGGAGTGATTTTCATGTTTATTGTGGACGGTGATTTGTTGGACATCGGAATACTATTACATGAGTCTAACTGCACATTTATCGAAGGTTTGCACTACTGGTAGTTGCAAGTGTGAGGCTAATGGTAAAAATGTGCCTGAATCCATCGTGCAACGATTGAGCTCCACCGATAATTTGATATGGGTTCCAGCTCTGGATTATTACACCGCGGTAGTTTCATGGACAGTCAACAAGAATGAAGCACCATGTCTGTGGAGAATTCCGCGGCTGGACACTACGGCAGACGCACCGTTCCTATCGACAGCGGAGCAGGCTGTAAGATTTGGTCCGGTGTTAGCTACTCTGTGTAATAAAAAGATTCAACATTGTCTCTTGAATCTTGATCGTGTATTAGGCGGGAATTCCTACTTGACGCGCGTCGCGTCAAATAGTCGATCCTCAGCAAAGGAACGAGCGACCTGGCGATGGACTGGGCCAGCCAATTTATCAGCGTAGCGTAGGTATTTTCGAAATGGTTTTCTACCAGTTTTTCTATTTCTATTGGTTTCCTTTTTTTCCGGGTTTTTTCTATTTATTTTTTGTTTCCTTTTTTAGTCTTTTTTACATAAATTCAAAATTTAATAAATCTTCGAAAAATGTTCAGACTTTCAAATTTTGTTATTTTTCAAAAATGTTTTAAAATTTCAATTTTATTATTTGAAAAATGTTCAGAATTTCAATAAAGGTTTACTTTTAGAAAAAGTTCAAAAACTTCAAATTTTGTCCAGAATTTTAGAAAAAATGTTCACATTTTTCAAAAATAGTTCGCTTTGATTAGAACTTGTTTGTGTCATTAAAATTTGCTATAGTGTATATAATATTTGCCACTGTAAACTTAATAAACTATCCATGGTACCAAAATAAAAATTTTACATGGTCCAGAATATAAATTTATCATGGTAAAGAACGAAAGCAATATACCGTGGGCTCATGGGCGAGGCGACTAGTGAACACTGTCCTGACTCGATCTACATATCGATATACAATGGTTTTTCATTGCAGTTGCCCATAGTATAGCTAGTAATTTAT